TTTTTAGACAGGATGATTCAAGAAGAAGATCCTGAAAATTTAATAGAAGACATCATTATTGATGCGGAACAAGACCTCAACAATGAAGAGGAGGAGGAACAGCAAGAGTCAAACTCTGCTAGAAGAGAATCAGAATTCGACGGGGAATACACAACCGACGATACAAATTCTGATTCATCATATCAGAACGGCTTAACCAGACCCAACACATTAATGGGAAGCCTGGAAGCCAACAATAAACAAACAATATCGTCCGAAGAAGAGAACGAAAACAAAATAATAGTTGTCAGCAGCGAAAGTACAAACGAGTCAATAGACTTGAAGAAGAGGAGGAGAAACGAACGCACTTGGAAGAGACGACAAAATATCGCGGCTAAAAACAACGCATCAAGGGCGAGAGATCCCGTCGAGGTGTATACAACTTATCGTCAAAAAGATGTGCCAGTCGTATCAAAAAGTCAGTTAAGGACCCGAGGATCAAATAGTTCGTACGAGGAGAGAAGAAAGCAGGAGATACAATCGCAATTCCAGGAACACCAGCCAGACGAGCTATGGGACCAATTGGAATTAGCGAAAACCTTAGCCTATAAGGCTGATTCGCATGCAGAGGACAACGGAAATAAACCAAACATATGGATTCGTAAACGAAACGATCCAAATATTAATAAATTTAACAAGTTTAATAAAACTTACAAATCTTCGAGCGACGAAGATAGCATTACCACTTCAAAGAAGAGGAAATGGCGAAGAGTGAAGAGGCACTCTGACGACCCTACATCAATGAAGATTTTAGCCAATGGCCGAAACTACAACCAAAGATCTCAAGATTCCAACAAGAGGAATGAAAATTGGCGAGGAGTAAACGAGGATTCCGATAAATCGTCACAATCAAGCTGGAGATCAAATTCTATAAAAAAAAGTAGAAAATCTAAAAGTTTCTCTCCGCAAAATGCTAATAATGCTAGGAGAAGACCAATAATGAAAGATATATCGCTGTGCGATACGAAAATTAAGATACAGCCTAGAAATAATCAACCTACGGCTAGTAATAATAATAAAAATGGTTTTAAATAACCAAATGAAGAATAAACCAGGTTTCGCAACCCGAAGAGGGGTTCCAAGCAACACCGAACAGAGGATTGCAACGAACAAACCTGAGGAGCTACATGAGAACACACCGGAGCTATCAACCAATAGGAAGCCCGGAAATCTAAATGACAGAATTGTCACACCCTCGACGAATATAACGAATAAACAAAGAAATAGGAAATATAATAAACAAATTTCCAACAATAATGCAAATAATAACAGTCGAGAGAATAATCCATGCAAAGAGCAATATAAAACGCGTGCCAGAAGATTCTGGATCGCGCGTGCGCGTCAAACTGGAGGGGGAAGCAGACAAGAAGATCCTTCAGCCATGTTGACAGCAGTCGAAACCTATCTTTCACGAAAAGCAGACGTACAGAGGAAGAATAAAAAGTGCGCTGGATTAAAAAGTGAAAGTGAATTAGCAAGATTGTTAAAAATGTCCTACCGTACATACGAAGAAGCTCGAGAAGAAGAGTTAACACTTCTGGAAGAATTACGCAGAAGGAATAAGGACATACATTACGCAGAAGAATGCGAGAAACGAATATCAATTCTTAAGAAATTGATACAAGAGATTCCTAAAATTAGAGAGGAAGATAGACAAGCATTCGAGGAAGAAGAACACGAGCAAGCCATTAAGACATCACAAGCGGTGCATGACTTGCATAAGATTTCAGCAAAAGGACTATACGTAAGCGATAGGTTTACAGTCCGGGATAAAAACGAAAGTGAGATATGTGACGTATCTCTAACAATGGCGACACTAGATGATGAAATTACAACAGATGGAAAGAGAAAGAAATTCAGAATCATCCTAGATGTGTCGGACGATGGAAAGATTAAACAGATCAAAGCAAGAGAAGGACAAATAATAGAAGGCGAAAACAGCATGACAGAAGAGAAGGAAAGTACACCGTCCACTTTAAGGAAAAGAAAAGCTGAGCGTCTCATAATTAAAGCAATTGATCAAGTGGTGCAAAAGAAAGAAACACCAAGAAAAACAATGAAAGGTACAACAAAACAAAGAGCTGAAAACATGGAAAATTCTCCATTTAACGAAGAACTAAGACAAGTCTTATCACCAATCGAAAACAGGTCGGGGGTAAGACAAAAAGCTTCAATTACCAAAGATTTATATCTTAAATTGTCACGTGTTGATACTCAACACGAACAATTGGCGAGGAGAATGCAACCGACCAGAAGTTCTGGATCGGATGCATCTTTGTCAATTGTAGATTTTAATGAGGAACTAAAAGGTAACGATGTCATATGCAGCCGTCAGGAACCCAATGCAGACCAGAGGACGAGTACTCCGGAAAGTGGTACCCACGACGAGCAGACAACTCAACGGACTCTTCGAACTAAAGGTGCCTTTACATGGGAGCGACGAGCGTCGAGCGTCGAGCGTCGAAATGCGCAGAAGATTATTGCGCAGCTTGACGCAGCTTCTTGACGCTTGAATCTG